CTAAAGATTTCATTTCAATTGGAATTTGGTTATTCACGATGTACGATGATCCCTGTTAAGCATCCATGGCTGAATGGTTAAAGCGCCCAACTCATAATTGGCAAATTCGTAGGTTCAATTTCATCTGCAGTATTTGCTTTATCAAAGATATAGCTATCATCTACGAAAAACAAATGAGAGGTGGTTGAGCTATCCATTTTTAACTTAATTCCAGAGATTCTTCCTCCTCTCTTTGCTTATTGGAGAGTTTCAGAGAGCGCTTCTGAAATGAGCAAAAAAAAAGGTATAGTGAGAGTGGGTCACCTTGATGGAGACCTCTAAACAGCTTAATAACTCTACCTGGAGATCCATTGATCAACATTCTGTAAGACACCGAGGTGACACATTCCATGATTCATCTTCTATTTCTCTCCCCAAATCCCATCTTGTTCAACACTTTTCTAAGGAAATTCTATTCCACTCTGTCATATGCTTTCATCATGTCTATCTTAACAGCCATGTATCTTGTCTTTCCTTTACCTCTACGTATTGAGTGAATCAGCTCACGTGCCATCAAAATATTGTCAGAGATTTATCTTCCAGGTAAAACATCACTTTTTTGTGGGCTGATTAGATCATCCATTACTAACTTGTGCCGGTTAGCAATTATTTTTGCAATAATTTTATAAGGGGTGTTGCACAGGCTGATTGGCCTAAATTGGGTGGTGTCCTCCGGATTCTTGACTTTTGGGATTAACGAGATTAGTGTATTGTTTGATTCCCTAAGCATGCACAAGAATAAAAAAAAAAATCTTAGGACTACTCTAATCACATCAGGGCCTACTACGTCCCAATATTTTTGAAAAAATAATTTGGAGGGAGCCATTTGATTTAAGGCTGTGAAAATTTCTTCAATAGTTACTTCTTTCTCCATCACTTCCTTTTGCGCCTCCGATAGCTGTGTGGATATATTTCTGATGATCTCTTCACAATTTCTAGATTCCTTATTAGAATAGAGCTTCTAGGAGAAGCTATTTATGTGGTTTCTAATAACTTCTTCATCCTCAACCCAAGCACTCCTTTCATTTTTCAGCTTAATAATCCGATTTGTGACTCTCCTTTGAATAGTAGAGGCATGAAAAAATTTTGTAATTTTGTCATCCCACTTGAGTCAATTAATTCTTGATTTTTTGTGCCATAACATCTCCTCTCCTTTTAGCTCCAACTCTAGCTTTTTTTTTTTTTTTTTCCAATTCTAGATGTTTTGCCTCCTTTGGACTGCCGGCAATGGACGCCTCATGTCTATTTCATTTTTGATAATCTCAATCATGGTGTTTGGTTCCGTTTATGTTTATTCAGTAAAACATTTTGTAGTTGTATGACTTCAAAATAGAGAAACGCATTTAATGAGGGCGTTTATGACACATAGGTGCCATACCACATCAGCAAAATGTCAATAAACGCCTACCCGTTTCAGGAAATTCCAGAATGAAGTTTCTTGAAATGGGAGAGGTTCACAAAAACCAAAGTTTACTTTTACAAACTTCAATATATACAAATGCAATTAATGAGGCATTTGCTGATGGGGCACCTATGTGGCACCGTCTATAAACATAAACGAAACCAAACATATATGATATTATCTTTAATCACACCAAAAGATTCTTTGTTCCATTTTTTCAGATTAGGCCTAATTTTCAACACCTTTTTTTGCTAAATTGAGCATATTGGATCCCTTAATAGGATCCTTCCAAGTATCCTCTATCACCTTTTTACAGCCCTCATGCGTAATCCAAGCTTCCAAAAATCTAAAGGGTCTAGGCTTCCACTTCGCCTTTGGGGAAAGGTTAAGAGTAATTGGACAGTGATCCGAGAAAAAGCCCTAGTTAAATGATTCACACAAGCTTGCGGGAAAAGCTGTAGCCAATCCGCATTTGCATAGGCTTTGTTAAGTCGTTCCTCCACTAGCCCTTTTCCTCTATTGTTAGTCCAAGTGGCCCAGATCAACAAGACTAAACCTGTACATGGGTCGGATCGATTCAGTTTTGCCTATTTTTGTCAACCGAACTGATCACATTGGATTGATTTAAAAATCAATCAAAACTGTTCAAAGTTAATTTATAACAGAATTGAAATTGGTTATTACTGGGGTTAGTTTTAATCGGTTTGAATTCAATTGATCCAATTTTTTCCTTTGTGGGCCCAAGTATAATACTTTGATAACGTTCGTTTGGGTGGATTTTATAGATGATTAGTTATGCCATGTGTCAAGCTTAAGTGCATGAATTTAATGATATGGTTTGGTGTAAAAGTGAGAGAGATTTTATAGATGATATCAGTAGTTTTATGAAAACTTGACAAATGAAATGACTAATAAGAGGCCCACGTCCATAGGTGGTACTATACTTTTATATTTATTTCATTCTATCCAAACACGTGGAATATATGTCCCATCAATAAAGTATCAAAGACCAACATATCCTTGGATGGCCAGAATTTTACATTGTAGTGTAGCCGTGTATATATATCAGGTCAGGTCAGTTTTAAGTCGGGTCATAAAAAAGTAAGCCATAACTGAACCGAATTGTCAACTGAAACCGACCATTTCGGATTGGATCAGTCCAATTTAGTCGATTTGATAGGTTTATGATATTTTGTGAACAACCCTAAACAAGACCACAATTATTGATCGTTTGAATTGGTCTGTTTAGCTTTCTTCTAATTAGCCGCTTGCCTCCTTTCTTTTCATTTGCTCACATCAAACAGTTCCAATCTCCAATGCAACACCAGGCCCCGTTTACCCAGAAACCAATCCAAGTAAATAGTGGAAACAGAATCTTCCTTAAAAGAAGACTCAGGTTCACCATAGATGCACGTTAGGAACCAGATATTATCATTCATATCAGAAATATTTGCACGAAAACCATATTTGCAAGATAACCGGATGTCTAGGTGGATTGGATTTTTCCATCCTAGAACAAGGCCACCAGAGAGCCCCACTGGCTCCACTGCAACCCACTTCCAATCCTGTCCCAGATGTAGATTTTTGATTACTCTGTATGAGTCAATTTTCGTTGACATGGGTGGTGGGTACGGATAAGGTTCCGCAAATAGTACTCAAACCCGTTTATTCTTTTCCCAACATGTGCAACTTAAAACTCTTCTTCCAAATAAGAGCTTCTACCAACTCCCCATCGAATTAACCCTTTACACCAGTCCTTCTGCAAACAAGAAAAATCATTCGGCGGCATTACGCTGCACCTTCTTTTTCTTTGAATATTGAGAAGAGCCATTCAAAGTACAAATATAAAATAAGGACTGCAGAAAAAAACCTCCCCAATTCTACTTATTCCTAATAAGTGCCTAGCTCATTAAAATTTGAAAAAAAATTGACAGTTTTTAAGACCTAGACCTAGTGTCATTTGCATAACTTTTGAGACTTATATTTAGGTTTCTCCAATGTATTCATGTGTGCATTAACTTTTCAAGTGAATTCATGAATATCCCAATACATATGCTAAAATTTTCTTTCCGACTCTGCGGATCTTTGATAACTGGAACCTTGATGCGGTTGAGTAGAAGATAGGGGTCTCAATGGACCGGTTTTGGATTGGAGCCCGTTCAAATCAAAAGCAATTTGAACGAACTGTATGGACTAATAAAACATATTGAATTGGATAAACCCAGATGGTCCAAAGTATTTATTGGATTAGCTCAAAGTATTTAATGGGTTTATATTGAACAGATTGGACAGTCTATTGATACCCAATCCATTGATAGAAGATAAAAATACAGGTTTGAAGGGATTGGACAATCTAGAGATTGAATTAGGCCGATCTAAAATGGTCCATCAGATTGGATTGGACCTGATCCGTTATTGGATCGGATTGGAGTTGGACCCCCTAGTAGAAGATGCGTTAGTTGGTGACTGACTGGTGAGAAACAAGCCTTTCAAGAATCAAACCCGTCTACGTAACACCTGATTCAAAGTCAAACGCACTGGTGGAGGCTTTAAGAGATTAGATGGCGCCATGGCGGTGGCGCCCGCACCGTGGGCACGGAGTAGAGGAGGGGAAATGGGGAATGATCTCTTATGATATCCTTCCGTTTGCGTTGGTTAAGTTTTTACTTTTTACTTTTTTATGCTCAATAAAAACTGAACCGGTACCTGTGCTTATGGACGCGGCAGACATACTCGCTATCCAGCCAGCTTCTTTCGCTTCTTCTTCTTCTTTCCCGCTCTGTAGCCGTTGGATTGAAATCTTAAACAAAGGTTCGTACACGTGGCATCAACCTTTGCGGTTCAGTAAAGTTCCAACGATTTTCGTCTCTCAGTTGGGGAGATAAAACGCTTCAACCAGAATCCATCTATCGAACTCTAACTCACGCAAATCTCAGAACAAAAAAAGGGCACCAAAATTTCAAAACCTTTCTACTTTCATACCAGTCACGCAAGGATTGTGTTCTGTGGATTTATTGTTCTGTGCTCTCTGCAATCTGCATTGCATTGTTCCCCCCAGTTCCCCCCATCACTCCCTCTTCCTCTTTTGAAAAATAAAAGCGGAAAAAGAAAAAAAAAAAGTAATATAGAGGGAGGGACCGAGGGAGGAAAACAAGAACCCAGATCTCTCTCTCTCTCTCTCTCTCGCTCTCTCTTGAGTCTCGGTTACTGCTATAATTTTATTTGCAAACCAAGATCCGAGACTTGTTATCGTCAAAGAAGAGCAACAAAACAAGTGTAAGTGCTGCAGGAGGGGGGATGCTAAGCAATCCCCAACGACAACTTCAATAAACAAAAAAGGAAAAATCATGATGTTCCTTACCAGATGGGCTTCCGATCTCGACTGGCGTCTTCTCCTCTTAACCCTGCCTCCTCTCTCTCTCCTTGCTTTCCTCTGTCTATCCGCCGTTACTACCACCGCCACCCCCAACTCCTTTTACTCTTTCGCCCCTCTCAAATCCTTCTTTTCCCACCGTATCCCTTCCGGCTCCGACAACTCCACCTCTCCATCCATTCCACCTCTCCCTGCTCGCAACAATGAACCGATGGCGGAGGATCTTCTGAAGAAAGAGGAAGAATTGAAACGCTCTAGAATTGCGATCTGTCTGGTGGGTGGGGCCAGGAGGTTCGAGCTCACGGGACCCTCTATCGTCAATAACCTCCTCAAGGTTTACCCCAATTCCGATCTTTTCCTGCACAGTCCCTTGGACCGCGATTCCTTCAAGTTCTCCCTCCTCAAGGTCGCGCCCAGGCTCGCTTCGGTTCGAATCTTCGAACCCAAGCCCCTCCAAGAGACCGACTCACAAGTTCGCGTACTCACTGCTCACAACTCTCCCAGTGGGATCCAGGTTTGTTCCACTCTCTCAAGATCGAGGCTGCCGTTTTGTTTCGTTTTCGATTTTTTTTTATATATATATATAATTGACTCACGAGAATTCCGAGGAGACATTCTCGTCTGTATTTCTAATTCTCGCCGGTGTCCGATACCCTCCTTCCCTCCCTCCATAAACTCTGAAGTCTGAATTCCATATATGAGTGTGTCAGAGTATCGTTACTATACTGGGTTTGGGTAGCCCGTTTCAGCCTGTAGTCTTATTAATTAAAAATGTTGTAGCTAGGGTTTGTATTCCTGCAAAGTTAAATCTGAATTTCTATAACAAGATTGATTTCGGTCCATAAATAATACGAAGGGCTTGTAACTTGGGAATTGATAATGAAAAGTTACACAGAGGAGAGGATTCATCATTCATGGCGTTGTCTCCCTCGCCGAACACCGGTTCGGTTGGTCAGTTACCCACAACCCAAACCAAATAACTTGGTCAAATGATTTGATGGTCCCTCAATTCCCAGGGAGGCAGGGAGGGAAGGGTTGGGTTTGAGGTTTTAAGTTTTAACGCATGCCTGACCTGACCTGACCTGACCTGATCGGCTGATCCTATCCCATCTCATCTGATCAAGGTCGATTGCTACTGCTACTCTCATCAGTGTGACGCGGATTCAGGGAGGAGCAGGATCACATGTTTATCACTTTATCAGTCAAGTCTTGTTTTTTTTTATGTGGATTTTAGAGAAATTTTCTTGAGATGGTTCAGCCCTCACTGGTTAGTGGTTAGGACTTAGGTGGGAGAAAGAAAACGAGCAGTCGTCCAATTAGGCTGCCGCCCAACATTCGGGGTTTAGTGAGTCAACTGTATTTGATTTTGTCTGCAGTGGTCCCCATCAATGACAGGGTCTGAATAAATAGTGGGTCCATAATTATCTCACGGTCACGGTCTGAATTCAATAAAATAGAGGGAAGGGAGGGTTATCTCCGTTATACTTCAAATCCGGAATTTGATTAAAAATTGTTAAAAAAGTTAACAAACTGTTGATCTGGGTGATCTATTTGTCAATGGTTTTTAACCATTTTTATTTTTTAATTAGTTTTTAATTTTACCGTCAGAACAAGCCATCCATTTAAACCAAACGATCAGATTATTGACCCAAAAACCGATGATTTGGGTGGCATTGCATTTAATGGATTATCGTTGGCTATTGACCTTAATTGTGTTGTTTTAAAATGTTGTGCAGGGTCTGCTACAGTACTTCAACCTTGTAGAGGGATGCCTAACGATGATCAAAGCTTATCAAACGCAAAACAACTTCACATATGACTGGATCGTCCGTACCCGGGTTGATGGCTACTGGTCCGCTCCGCTCCACCCTGATAACTTTATACCCGGTCGATACCTGGTCCCTTCTGGCTCTGGCTACAGTGGTCTCAACGACCGTCTCGGCATTGGAGACCTCAACACCTCCGCAATTGCTCTCTCCCGTCTCTCCCTCATCTCCCACCTCGATTCCGCCGGCTTCCGCCAACTCAACTCCGAGGCCGCCTTTAAGGCCCAACTCACTACCCAACGCGTCCCCTACTTAACCAATCGCTTACCCTTTTGCATTGTCAGCGACCGCAAATACGCCTTCCCGCCCATGCGCTACGGCGTTCCTGTTGCCTCGCTCTCCAGTCCGGGCCCGCTCAGTGGGACCAAATGCAGGCCATGCACGCCGGTCTGTTCCGGCCCTTGCGTCGCCGACGTTGTGGCCACTCTCTATAAGGGCTGGAGCTGGACCGATTGGTCTAACGGGAGTCTTCAGCTATGTGACGCGCACGCCGAGTGGGAGCCCGGGTGGGAGAAGATCTTCGACCGAGTGGCTGGTAAGAAACTCGCCGCAGTTAGAAGGAGAGTTGGATCGTTAAACTTGGCGGACTGCGTCAGTGATTTTGAAGAGATGAAGAGACGGACCGTAAATTGGGAAGCTCCACCAGCGACGGAAATTTGTAGAGTAGGTGGCCGGAGTAGCAAATAAGCAAAAGCGGCTCAAGATGTAGTGCGTAAGTATAATACACAGAGAGAGACCGAGACAAAGAGGAGCAAGGCATTTTTTAGGGTATGTAGAAAAAGTTTTGCTTTGAATTCTCCGAAAAAGAAAAATTTACACTTGTATTAAAAGAAGAAAATTTTACACTTGGATCTTTCAGTGGTAGAAGTAGAATATATTGAAATTTACACCAGTAGTAGTCTGGTAGCAAATAGGAAACCAATGGTGCAAAATCATGTATGTAAACAATGTATGCCATGCAAAGATTATTTTTTTTTTCTTTAATCAATATAATGCTTCTGAAACATGCGTTAGGACTCGGGACTCAAGATATAGCTGTTACTGGTCTATTCATCAAAATGATCAATCCGATTCGAGGTGCTCAGTTTTCTAATTATTTTAATCCGATTTAGTTTAATTTTGATCATTTGTAAATTGTTCAATCTAATCATAGATATATATTAATATTATATTATTATTATAGTTTTTTAAATTAAAAATTTTTAAACGGATTGATCAAATTAAAAAATAACTCAAACTGATATAATTTGAGTTAACAGGTTTTCATCATTGGTCAGTCAGATTGGGTTTGGATGACTAGACCAATTCGATTGGTCAAATAGCATGGAACTGAAACAATCCGACCCTTGAACACCCTAGCTTACTGATGGTATTTGAAAGACGCCAAGGACCGTCCCAAAAGCATTTTATTGCTTTTACTTGCAATAGGGGTTATCCAAATTTGATTTGGTAAGAAAAACTTACATGATATCTAAATTTGAATCGAATCTGACCAATATTCAACTTTCCTTATTCCATCGATTTGACTAGATAAGTGAATATTTGATTTGAATTCGATTCAATTTGACTGAGCATTGTATATTTCATATGAACAATGAATAGGGGTATAGAATGGGAGTTGAAATGGATAATTTGATTCTACCTGTTTGATTAAGGGGCTTGGTGGAAAGACGTTTCTCCATTTGAGAATGGTTATTTATATTCCTTATTGGGGTTGAGAATTTATTCCAGCTGATTTCAATTCTCATATGAATCAAACAAGTGGAAAAATAAACCATTTTGATTCCGATTCCAACTGTAAACCAAATGGGCCACAAGTCTTCTTGATTCGTATTCAGGTAATTGAATCCTTTGTCTCATCTATTATTTCCCTAATAAACCCTTGTCTTTTCAAAAAAAAAAAAAAAAGAACCCTTGTCATTGTAGGGAGGATCCTTTTGAGTCATTGTATTCCCTGAACATAGGATTCTATTTCCTGAATAGGAATCAAGAATGAGAGAATTAGATTTGTGATTCTTACCTTAAGTTCAAGTGAGCAATGACCAACTTGTTTGAAAGTCAACAATGGTCTTAGAATTAAGATTTGTGGCATCGCAAAGATCTCAGATAAGAAACTAAGCCAAGGAGCCCAATATTTTATTGTTAATGACAAGCGAGGTTCAAAATTTTCATATGACACCTCAAATATGAGGCTTTTGGGGTCTTGACCAACCAATTTTAGGTGGTAGGCAGGCCTAAGACCAACCCCTGACTAATTTTTGTAAAAACACTAAAAGAAAGGAATGTGTGTGATTGAAACACATTCAATCACGTATTCGCTAACTATACACTATACACTACTTTGAAGTGTTTTAGAAGACGCAATGAGGGGTAATGGCCCAAAAATGGTATACTCAACAGGCAGTTAGCAACGGCATTCGCTTCAAACCTAGAATCTAATTTCATAGGATATGGGCAAATCGACTCAAAGGTAAGACTTGAGAGAAGGGATTTAGGTCTGTTGAATGTTTTACTTGTTTTTTTTTTTCCTTTATTTAGTATCAATATACATTTTGTTCAATGAATTTTTTTATATTTTAATAAATAAAATAATAAAATAATAAAATATTCAAAGGATTCATAAGGAAAAGAACCGAAACTGATGGCGGGGACTAGTTGGACCTTGGTTTCTATTTGTTGTTTATTATTTCCAAATTCTGGGAAGAAAGTAGCAAAAATGCCAATACCTTTGTTGTTTACTTGCGAATTTGGATGGTGTTCACTTAGGTAGGAGCTGAAATGGAGTAATGTGTGGATGGGAGAGGTGAGAGTTCTAAATTAACCCATACTTTGCTTTTCTTCCTATTCAATGAGAACAGGGAAATTCACTTAAACGGTCTTTCAGGAAACACCTGTTTGTTTGAAATTGTTTTTCCATAAAAAATGGTATTCTAAGTCACGCATTGGAACTCGAGAATGCATAATTTGGAGCAATGCCGAATTTGACGTTTCCTGGAGCTGCAGCTCATTGCTGCCAATAGGAACATTGGCAGCGATAGGGACAGACGTGGCACTAGATAATAGGTATCAGAGCTGAAAATGTTTCTTGGAGCATTGGTACCAAATAGAAAACGTTGTTGTTGCTCCAGGAAACATCCTAGCTGGAAGCAACGTTTCCAAGCAAAAAAAAGGCACTGTTTTCTTTTAAAATAGTGCTTCCAACCAACACATCAGCAGCACAATTTTCTCAGGAAAACAGTGTTGTATTTGCAGCATCAATGCCAAATATATACTAAGCGTATGTTTGGCATCGATGTTGTTGCTCTAGAAAACGGTGACACATCAGCACAATGTAGGAAAAAAATGGTGCTCCGGGAAACTTCTATTTGTTTGGAACCATTTTTCCATAAAAAATGGTGCTCCAAGCTATGCCTTGGAAATCGAAAAGGCGTGGTTTGGAGCAACGTCAAATTTGGCATTTTCTTAGATTGCAGCTCGTTATTGCCAACGTGGACATGATGTGGCAATGATGTGGACTTCCTATGATGAGACCAATGCTGAAAACAGACATGGAGCACTAGTACCAAACAGAAAGTGTTGTTGTTACTCCAAGAAACGTCCTACCTAGCAACAACGTTTCCAAGCAAAAAAAAAGACATTGTTTTCTTAGAAAATGGTGCTTCCAATCCACACATCAGAAAACGGTGTTGTATCTGCAACATCAATGCCAAACATACACTAACACGTCAATATTTTCTATCAAGAATTTAAGGGGAGGGCCAGAGGGGTGTGTTAGTACTTTGCACATTTATTTGATATTTGAAGGGAGACGTTTGTTACTTGTTTGGGTAAAAACACATAAGAGATTTAAGTAATTATCAAATGACTCGGGGTATTTACATTTCTTATCCAATGACATTCAAGAATAACCATTTACTAGCAAGTAAATGTCGATACATTTACTGGGTAGAACTGTCTCTTCAACTCTCATTTGAAATCAGCCCAAGTGTTGATGGTACACGTACCCCGTTCAATGTCGATACATATTCAGCACCACCACAACATGGCAACATCAGTCAAATACATTGTAGCTATGCGTATCTGGGTCATCTCACCATTGATGCTGGTTGCTACAATATATTGTTCCATCTGCCATAGGAAATTATCAATGTCGCATGCATCATGTGTTCTAGGATAGGGAGTTGGCTCCCTAATCCTAATGTGGGAAGGAGTGTGCATAGTGAAGGTGTTGGTTGGCTTAGTAATGATTCTCTTTAGGATTGCACACTTTACCTTGAATTTATCTAGTTGAGCTTGGATGTTGGTGGAGGTAGACAAGGTTGATTTCATGGCAACACACTCTTCTTTAATTTCATTTAATTGGGCCTAAATGACCATTGGGGAAGACATGGCCCTCCTCCATGTTGCTCACTTGCTTCTCATCTCATCGACTTGAGCCTAGAAGTTATCGAGCTTGTTTTGAATATGGGAGTGGGATGAGCTTCCTTCTTGTTGGCGTGCGGTGCTAAAGACTTCTTTAAGGGTCTAGTTGAGCACGTCACGGACCTCATTGACAAGACCGCTTGTGTGGCCTTCCACTTGTACCACCGCACTCTCGATGGGTTCCATATTTTGGTGTAGCTCATCCACTCAATCATGCATCTCGCCCACAGTGGCTTCACAATGTAGCACATGTAGGTTGATGGCTGCATGCTTGTCCGTGGATTTCTCGTGCTTGCTTGCCTTTGATGTTTGGGTCTTTGGTGCTTTGTTTTTGACAATGTCATTGGTGGGTGCGTCATTGGTCTCGTGGGATGGGGAGAGTCCATGCTTGATCTCCTCTGTGATGTCCCTGTTATGTTTCATGATGCCGCTTGCGTCGCGAGTTGATTTGCTAGCAATAAGCTCTTGCTTTAATACCAACTGTCATGGGGCTAATCGGAGAGGCCCCGTGTGGCACTCGATTGGGTCGAATAAGTCTATGAAACCAAGCAATAGCACACAAAAAGCAACAAGAATGCACACGAATTAATAAAAAAACTATTTGTATTGCATAAAATGATGATAAATACAAACACACAAATTTGTGTTGAGGGGATCTTGTGCTTAACCTTTACATGGTATTGACATATTCAACTACCTACCTCCCCTCAAAGAGTAAATTAAGCTTTTAAGAGAGTGATAAAAGAAAACATCAAAATGATAAAAATCATATTATATAATTACAATATTACCATTGACATTCCTCCCTTACAAAATAAATACATAGCCCCTCACAAAACACACATGAAACATTGAATGCGTGCTGCAGGAAGGATACATGGTACTCGTGAGCGAGGTGAATAATAGGGCTGCTGTCTCGTATGAGTAGCAGAGCTTATGAAGTAACCAACTCTGAATTATATCTAAAGAACCTCTGCTCATTTCTTATCTGGAAATGGACGTTTAGAAATTAAGGAGAGTCTGAATATAAATATAATAACTTCACAATTAATATATAATTTGAAAACACGGAAAAAAAAAAGAAAAACAGTAAAACGAAGATTGAAGAGGAAGTTAGTCAAACAAAAAAAAAAAAAAAGAAAGAGTGAAGAGGAAGGTAACGTTACCTCTCTTGTTCATATCGAAGGATTGAAGAAGGAAGACTGCATATATACAACATAACATAATTTAATTTTCTTATACCAACAACAACCGTATCAATTAGAAATAATAAATCCAATGGAACATTCATTACACACCCTGTAGGCTGTAGCTGTAGCCAGGGAGGTTTTGCATTACCCGTATGTCGTAGTAGTATCGAATACTGATAGATTTTGGTGGAGGTTTTGCATTCCACAGCAATTTGGACTTAGCAACATTTTTTTTTATCTAAAACAAGCCCAGCTTCCTCAGAAAGTAGCCGAAGAGGGGCCCTAATGGGCTTAAACATTTGCAGGAAAAATCATACTGATTATTAGTCTGTCCATGAAGCCCATGATCAATAAATAAATAAATTAATTAAATTAAATTGTGGGAGTTATAGGCAGACATGTTCGAAACAGACGATATCGGCCCATGAGATGCTACCCGTTGGGAGACCAACGCAAATAGAAAGCAATTGATGGTGTTTCGTTCTCCACTAATTTACCAGTTACTCACCTTACGATGTCAAGCCCGCCGGGATGATGTCAAATTATAAGTGTTCCTGCTCCTGCGTCAGGGTCATGTGGGCGTTTGGTTTATATAGTTTTTGGCTCATTAATTACTCCTTATTTTTTTCAGAATACAAAAATGTGATCATTCAATCGTGACAAATTTGAGGAATTAGGCCTAGAGAGTTGATCAGAGTGGTTTGGAATATATTTAATGTTACATACATATGGCACTGCTACCTCATTGAGTGGCAGTATCGGTGGATCTCAGCTTTTATTAGCAGCACCATTTTTTCCAAAATTGTATACTTTGAGTACTAAATAAAATGGAATATTGTTGCTCTTTAAGTGTTGATTATGACTTTGTTAAGCAAGATTATAAAAAAAAAAAAGTGGACTTTTGGCGATTTGAGGGGCCAAAATCAGTATTATGTTGGGATCGACCATCACGCATTTAGGTTTTATTTGATCTGCGTGTAGCGGGATAAAACACACCATCGTTTGTTCCAATACACACGGGCCCACATGTCAGTGATGGAATACTACACTAGTGTGTTCACTTATAATTGGTTCAGTAGCTAGTCCGAGAAGTAGATCCGGGCTGGATTAAGTTTCATTTTCAAGTTTCTATAATAATAAAAAAAAAAGATTAATTAAGTGTAGGCTATCAGACAAGTAACTAAAACTTGATACTTAGGCTTGGCCTAATGGCCTCACGAGTCACGCCCAGGTCCAGACAAGTAATAAACCATCGGAAATAATTAATTAATTAGTTTGCACTCCCTTAGTCACTACTCAACTAATGTATAAGAAGTAAGAAGGGAGTGGAGGAGGGAAACCATGTAGTGTTTGGTATGTTGGGACTTGGGAGGTATTTCCGAAGAGAAGGGAAACCATAAACCATATATAATGACTACTTACTCTCTTGAATCTTGATGAGATTGCAGGTGCATGCATAGGGGCCGAGGCTGATGCTGAGCACATGGGCAAGGGCAAGGGCAACAACCGGAATTTAGATTACGATGGCATCGGCATGGATGTGGTCGATCTGGGACTGGCCCTCTGGCCGGGGTGCATGCCAACCTTAATCTTAACTTCTTAACCCAAAACCCCCGCGTGTGCAGTCAACAACAACAATAATACTAATAATAATAGTTTTTTATAAAAAAAATTAAAAAAAAAAGAATTTGATGAATTAACAAAATCAGATACATTAACCAGTTTACAAATATAACTGTGGTAATAACAAAAGGTTTCTTTTTAGGGACCAAATTACCCTTTCTTAAATTTTGCATGTTAACATCAACTCAAAGATACTGGTCATCATCTCCTTCCTTGGAATGCCACAACAAGGATGTGGAGCAAGCTCTCTCTCTTTCTCTCTCCATCTTCTTCCTTTCCATCTTTCTATATTTTCAACTAACTCAGACTAAGGGCTTATTTGTTTCTTCTTAACTCTTATTTTTTAAGAGGAATATTTTAATTTTAAGAGAAAAATTGTTGTTATTTTCCTATTATCTCTTATCTCTTACGGTATAATCATATAATTTTTTGTTTTTCAATGATAGTAAACAAATAAAAACTCTCATATATGAGTCAAAATGAATATTTAATAATTTTCAGAATTCATAACAATATTCTATGCATTCAGGATTCAAAGGAAATAAAAAATTACCAATACCGATATATCTCTTAATGTAATTATTGCATTTTCAGATGTCAATAGGTCCTAAGTCTAAAACCCACCGAAAATCAAAACAAAATACTGAAATAGAATTGAACCACATTTTCTACCATCAAACTGAAACAAAGTAGCAAAACCACTGCTCCCCACCTCTTTTTTTGTTGTACCCTCACTTTCTTCTTCTTCTTCTTCTTCTTCTTCTTCTACCTCCATCTTTGCTATCAACTTTTGTTATTTCTTGAAAGAAGTAGAACGGGAGAGAGAAGTACAGTTAATCAAAGAAACTCTTCCAATAATCCCACTTATTTGTAAAGCTAAGGTCTTTGGACGTTTGAAGAATCATTGGTTACTCCATTATCGGTTAATCCATGGATGACTGGCAACCAACCCGGTGCCAAATCTCTTGCAATTAATCTCAGGTGCCAATATCACAATAATCCCCTTAACAAGACGATCAAATCGGCCTTTTTAAATGTCTTACTTAATTGCTTTGGAAATAACTACCTTGATAACCTATATCTGAGTTTTCTTCAATCGATTTGATCTGTTATTGGGGAGTTTTCTGCGAAAATGATGACCACAGAAGAGAGCAACAACTTTGACGAGATGAGCTGTCCAAAACTGCACAGTTAGGTCAAACAGTTTGAGTGCCACCACCGAATCCATCTCATCATCACGGTTTACAGACTTCTTCCTCTATAGCTCATCTTGGTTTTAGATACAATTGTTGTTTACCAAAGATAAAAGAAAGAGTAAGGGAAGGGGTTTAATTGTTTTCTTCAATTGTCATTGTCTAGCTTTTTTATTTTTATTTTTTTTATCTTTTATTAAAGCTTTGAAAGAAAAAGTAGCAAAAAGTAGGAAAACTTATACAACATTTGTAAAAGTTTCCCCACCTTTTCCACCTTTCCTTTCCCTTCAAACCAAACATAACTTAAGGGTATTGTTCCGCTCAGGTCATATTTTTCTATGCCTAACTGAATTTGTAAATTTATCAAACTTTATCATTTATTTAATTTGCAAAAAACTTTTTAATAATAATAATAATAATAATAATAATACAGCATTTTATTCTTTTTCCACCTTCTTCTCATTTTAGTTTTTATTTTTTTTTTCTCTTTTTCATCTACGTAATTATGTGGTAGTGATTTTGTATATAGGTCGTAAATTTAATATTGCTATGTGTATAGAACTAATTTTCCTTTAATCAGAGGTGACTTCCATTAATAAGGCAAAAGAAAAAGAAAAGCATTTGATTCTCTTGTAAATCGGAGAGTCATTGTTTCTCTCTTCTCTCTTTTGTTGCATTTTTCTCAACCGCTCAACATATGATCGTATCTCTTCGGATCTTCCACATGTATTTGTTTATCATTTCTCTAAACAAATTTTTATTAAAGCATTTATATTCATAATAAATAAATGTACTAATACACAAATAAACTCTGGAATCTGGTATGGATGTCTTCACAAATCGTGTGAGGTTGTAGAGAGTCAACCCGCGTGAACAACAGTGACAGATCACAGATGTGTTGGATCGGGGTTGCGTTTCTGTTCCTGAAACACGCTCCATCCAAATCCGACGAGACGACGACACCAAAACCGCTAAGCTGTAGCAGCGGTATAGCCTATAGTGGTTAGCGGTTTTCCCAACCATATATTCATTACGCCATGATCCTAGATTCCTAGGCAAAACTGCCCTGACAGACATACGCGGTTCCATTGCAATCCAACTCAACTCTATGTAATGTAATGTACCTACTTCCTTATCACTCATCTCTTTCTCTCTCTTTCTCTCCGGCAGATTCTCACCGCGTGGTGAAAGTGGGCACCACTGACGTCTTTTACTCCGTTTCACAATGCCTCATAGACCGAATCAGCCCCCCCCCCACAATGTCCCGTCATTCATGTTAGCATGTGAAGTTCCTTGATAATTTATCTTAACAAGGGCAACGTGGCCTTATCGTCTACCGTTTAATTAGGAACGTGTCATATGCACGTGGTATCTGTCTCCTCTCCTCCAAGAAGGAAAACCACAATCCGCAAGCGCCTCGGAAAACCACCCCCGCCCACATGATCGCTGTCGTGCATATGATAATGATTCGGTACAGCTGGATTTATTCGCGGATCCAGTTATGTTGATTGTTGAATGTTGAGTTCCTTCAAATCACTTCACCCATTTCTCCCCTCCCCACCCACCCCCTCGTGCGCAACTTTTTTTTTTTTAGTTCCCCTTCATTATTCATATTCCATTATTATGAAATCATATATGTTTAGTATTATTAAAATCTCCCAACTTCCTCTGCCTTATAAATTTAATCCCTCCCTGGGGCAGAAAGGCTTCGTCTCCGCCAAAGTCCCCAAAACCTTTTTGTCTTTTATCTTTAGGGGTTTTCATTATCAACAGAGTCGTTGCAGAACAAAACGCAGAGGAAGAAGAAACAAAATATGGTTCCCGGATTCCGCCGCACCCTTTCTTTCCCAAACCAGCATCCCAGCCGTCCATCCCGACCGCAGAAATCCTACCATATCAGATCCACTAGTCTCCCATGCAGAGCACACCCCCAGATCTCCCAGCTCAAGGATGAGATCAATGAGCTCAAGACCTGGGAATCTAAAGCCCTTTCCCGGAATTCCGCCTGGCTTTGCGACGGTTTGAGCCGTCTCAGGTGCATTCACGACTCTCTTGACGACCTCCTCCAGCTTCCCCAGACTCAGGACTCACTCCGCCGTCAATCCCACTGGGTCGAGAAGCTCCTCGAAGATTTCCTCCGCTTTGTCGACGTCTACGGCATCTTCCGAGCTGCACTCTTGGCTCTTAAGGAGGAACACCTGGCCGCCCAGGTGGCCATAAGGAGGAGAGATGAGTCCAAGATCGCCTCTTACGTCAAGGCTCGTAAGAAAATGGAGAAGGAGATGTCCAAGCTCGTCTCTGTCGTCCGATGTATCGGGAAGAGTATGGTTCCGGGAGCTGTGTCGGTATCAGATGGCGATGCAGAGTTAGCTGCAGTCCTTAAGGACGTCAACGACGTCACCGTATCAGTGTCCATCTTACTCTTCAACGGAATCCTATCCTCTTCGTCGCCGTCGTCGTCGTCGTCATTGTCATCCAAGTCTTGGATGCTATGGAGACCCTCGAAGAAGACGAAGAAAATCGAGGCAGAGGAGGGAATTCGAGAGCTGGAAGAAGTAAGAGTAGAGAGCCTGTGCCGTTTGAAGAAACAAGGAGAAGAGGAGGTGCGCATGACATTGCGAAGAATGCAGGCTTTGGAAGACTGCATTGGAGGGATTGAGAGTGAAAGCGAGAGAGTGTTTAGGAGTTTCATCAACACCAGAGTTTCTCTGCTCAACATTCTCACACAATAGAGAATAAGAGTGATGGATTGGAGAGTTTAATTATTGAAGATTCAAAATTTTGTTATTTGAGTTAAAAAGAAGCGGGAAATAAGAAGAGTCAGGAGCGTGAAGAGAGGCTGTAGTGGTGTGTACAGTAACGATCATATACATGTATTCTGTTAAATTAAATGAAGGCCCTTTCTAAATTTCTGGGTCGACGTCGAGCCGAAACTCGCCGACATTTATCATTCTCGCTTAACTCTTGTTTAATTTTTCCATAGTTGAGGCTTGAGATGTATCATGTATGTGGTGGTAGTAAGTGCAGAGGGAAAAAAATTCATTAATTTGTACCAACAATTGCATTTTGCACCATTTTAACAGCATTAATTGATTGATATATTTTGATGAGAATATGAATGGAAATTGAATCTCATTCTCACATTCACATAAATGATAAACCCAGAAGTGAATAAATATCAAGCTAATTAAAACATGGGCACTCGCGCGTTTGTAGGTTTGTTTAATTAACTTTAAACCTTAAGGCTGTGTTTGGTGTGAAGGAAAAAAAGTAGGGAAGAAAAAGGAAAAATAGAGAAATCCATACAAGGTTTGTAAAGGTTTTTCTACTTTTTCCTTTAAATCAAACATAGCCTAAAGCATTAATAATGTAGTAAGTCGGATGGTTGATGATAAGGAAGGACACATCACACATCAAACTCTAGAAGAGTTATTTAGTGGCAACTTGAAACCATGCATTAACCCCACCCCTTCCTGTCTCAATTGAGGATATTGTGTATTCATATTTGAGAGGCAACCCAAGTTGCAGTATGGCATCCAACCACGATCCCTATTATGTATAGTTAGTACAATATCTCTCTATCTAGCGCAGCTAGCCAGCTTATAGTCTCAATGAATTTGGGTTGTTTTCAAAATTCAATATTCCTCCTACGGTCTCGGGTCTATTTTATATCGAGGGCCAATCTTAATTTAACTCATCCATGGCCAAACATGTCGTTGATACACAAAAAACTCAAGGTCTAGAAATTGAAATTCGGGATCAGCCTTTAATTATCCATTTTAATTTCTTGGCTGTTGGTCGCAAGTTGGCCACCACCAGAAACTGTTAACTGTAACAGCACATGATTTGGGTTGCATAACTGCATTATTGATTTAACTTAAAATAGGGGTTATTTTGCTGGGCCTATACACTTAAATATGTATATATACACCAATGAAGCCACGAGAACAAGCTTAATAATGTAGAGTTGTTATCATTTAGGTGTTGCTTAATTAATTTGTCACTTGATTCTCCACCCCAATAATACACAGCTTCATTTCTTTTATGTTTATATTAAGCAAGTCAAGCTTAAATATACATCTGATGCATGCATGCTTTAAAAACATGTGTTTCAGAAATATAGATTTTCATATTTGACGGTTTCAAAAACTTGAAAGAGGAGGACTTTCCAGTTCATCACTACATTTATTTTCTTCTTCAGTTTAAATATTAATTATTCTGCCTGCCCAGTGCCCACACAAGGACCACCATTTTGCGGTTTGCGGTAATAGCTGTTCTTTTCCCCCATCTGATTGGAACCTTTTCGTTCCGCTTCCGCCTTGGACAGGACAGTAGGTGAGTTGTGAGTAGGGTGGTATCTGGCAGCAGTACGTAGGGCCAAGTTCCATGTGAGTCGAGCTGGAATTACCCTGTCTCGGCTTCCCGGTATATATTTTGGCCAGACCATATATGGAGGCACGATTGGACGCATCCCATTTCATTTGGAGATGTCAACTTGTCAACCAACAGTAACACATTATCCTTTAATTAATTGACAACTTAAGAAGCCAGGATTAGCCGACCCAAACATGTCCTACAAATCATCAACTACATAATCAGACTTGGACATGAATAAACCCGCTCCCGGCGGTCTTCACTCTTCTTTCTTGATTTAACTTGAGTTTACATTCTTGTTGTTAATTCTAAATTGAAATATTTCTACTACTACTTTTTTTTTCCCACCCCTTCCACAGAAGGACAGGGATGGGTTTTGGCCTTTTGGGGACAGTGGTCCGTTGCTTAGGGGTAGGGTCATTTTAAATTACCAGGTGGCAGATATTCAGAAAATCACGACCCATCTCACATGACATTCCGTATAAGAGACGATCTGTTGTGGATTAAAAGTGCTACTACAAAATGAAAAATGAAGATAGTGACTGCTTGAGCTTGAGTGTTGCTCCACGATGAGTTTTCTATGAATAATCACTATGCCCAGGCCCATCAATTACTTAATTAGGTTAAACGAGATCCATGGGTTAATAAGATTAACCAACATATGGGCCTTTAGATGGTAGGCCCAAAGCTCAATTCCTACCAATATTAAATGGTCAGATTGACGTTAAAATGATAAGAGAACAGCCACATAAAGGGTCCAGTTCAATGTATGCCTAAATCCTCTGTGTCAGCAGCACACCATATTCTTACTTTCTAGCCCAACTATTTTTGGGTCAGAGTGCCAAATATAAATATATTTGGTGCAAAACTTTGTATATGGTATTTCTAAACTCTGCATTTGCATTTGCATTTATACGAATTGGACAAAATCCAAACTCACACTATCCTCACGGCACTTGCAATTAATTATGCATTGGGAATATCTCCCTACGAATAAAATCATACTAGTGCAGAGACGTTCCGAATATACGGCTGTAAGGATGGTGTGTAGACGGATTTTGTGAGGATGAAGTCTGAGCTCCATTTATACAACTCGTGCAAGTTGCAACAACAAATGAACCCATGTATTGGGTATAGCAAATGAATTTGCTTCTAAGCATTTATGGTTTAACAGTGATGGCCAGAGGCTTTCCTTTTTATTTCTAGGGAATGTGTGTAGCATCCAAAATTAGTTATTCACACAAGTACCATTTTATATAATAAATAAAGAACGTTCTCTGGAAAGTAGAAACGATATAAATATAATCTCTCTTTTGTAGTCGTCAAAAAATGGTGCAAGCCTTAAGCCTTTGATTCCAATTTCCAACGTATGATTATTGCTGGTTTTGTGCGTACGTCCTTCCTTTTTTAACCAGCCAGCTTTTGATGACCCACTTACTATGTATATATATCTAATGATATGGAGGTAGACGGATTGCCTTAGCTAAACAAAAGTAACCCAACTTGGTGGTGCAGTGGTGCTTGGAAGAATATACATCTCACCTCTGGCCTCTGGGTGAGAAGGGAGTTCATTTATCATTACTACTCTATCGTCTATATCCACCGTTGGCCCATGTCCTGGTGGTGATCAACTGATGATGACTGACGATGATGATGTCTTACGTTTTTTAATTAGGTACATGCCGTTAGGGCCATTAAATGGCATTGATTATTATTGAAGTGGAATACATACAAATAAAGGGACCAGGACCAAGGAGGATGGTATCGCAGAACCACAAAAATGATTACAAGAATACAAGATAGAGTGAGTGTGATTGATATATATATATATATAATGATATACATATTTGTCCGTTGTCCCTCGATAGCCTCATTGAGTAATGACACCAGTGACAAGAACCAAGTGGGGAATTGGCCACAGTACCCCCCCCCCCNCCCCCCCCTCCCACTTGGTGGTGACTGGTGAGAGACAATTGGATTCAACGACGACCAATTCAATTGGATTCGGGTCGGGCTCATTTGCAAAGCGATAAGTAACAACGAGGAAATGGGATCAAGATGGCCTTCTGGAGTGTGAGAGTAATATAAGCCCATGATCCACTACTAGTATTGCCACCGCTCCGCTCGCAAGCCAGCATAGTCATGGCTCATGGGCTCAAGTCTCAGGGTTCACATTCAAGAGGTTCTTCATTAAGGGATGCATGGATTCCATTTATCAAAAAAAGAAACAAAAGGTTTAGGAATGGATGAGATCAGAAGCTAGTGGACAAAAACGACTTGAAAAAGAGTCAGAGCGGGTCAATGTGGGTTGTTACACTTACTCTCCAAATGCATCAGACTTCAAATACGAAACTGAAACCAAAATTATGTACTACCATCTCTCTCTAACTTTTGAGTTTGAGATCAGATGCTGCCTGCACCCTGCCATTAGGCCTTTGGCATCCATCATTTAATTTGCTTGTTTTATTTAAACAAATCGATGACTCAATTGCAAACTATTAAGGCCATTTCGTTTTTCGTGAAGTGAAGGGGTTGGTCAATGGGATTGAGAATCCCATTCACGTTCCAATTCTAAAATTGTATAGGACCCACGGTAAGTTTCATTTTCCCGGGTAAACGATACCCTTGCAACACTCGGGTAAATTGGTTTCCTGAGTGGAGGGTAAGTAGATAAAAAAGGAAAATCTCAAAATGCCTCCCCTCGGCCTCTGCGTTTCTCCTCTCACCTCTTGGCTCTCCTCTTCCACTCCATCATCTTGCTGCCATTGGTTCTCTAAGTTGCTGCTGCTTGATCTAGTCATCGGCTCCATCATTGACTCTCCTCCATTGTTGCTGCTTCATCCTCCTCCACTCTGTTGTCGACACCATTGAGCTGCTGTTGCTTCGCTTGTCGTCTCTGCTCACTGTTCTTTTTTCTCCATTGAAATGGTAAGAATCACTATTCCTCTTCCTGTTGATCCGCCGTTTCAATTTCATCTGACCAGATGTTTTTTTCTCCATTAATTTTACGGTTTACAATTTTAAATTTCCGACCAGATGTCGTGCAGGTAGAAACTCTGAGAATGAGAATCAATATACGGGAGAATTTCCTAATGTGCCATTCGATGCTATATAAATAGAGTTTTTACCTTGAGATAACTTGGATGCTTTCTCCAACCATAATCGATCAGGAACCAAGTAAAGTTCACAAAATACGGACATGACCATTCGCTTTGAAAAATTTTGGCCTCTTCATCAAACGATTTAGGATCTACTGACCACAAAATTTTGATATTCAAATTTATCTAACCGCACAACGCGAATATCGGTAACCCTTGTCATTACTAAAATGTCTAATGTGTAGTTGTGTGAACATAACCAGCAATGTGTTGTAGTCAGTAGTTCCGACTTCAAACTACATAATACATATTACCGAGCCTTGTAAATTGTTGTTTAACCTGATTACGTAACCATTCTCAAATGGTGCAATACCTGTTTTTTAAATAAGTTTAAGACATTACATCAACTAATTTTTATTTAAACAATGATGTATTCTTATTTCATTGGGGTTGCATGCAACCAATGCTACAGTAGAATGTTCACTAGTTTTAAATTCTAAACACTAGAGAATCTGATTTTTTTTTTTTGTTTGATCATCGGAGTATCCATATTTTATAAGGTTCCTGGTTCCATCAACTACAAAAAAAGTTGTGTGAATATATTCCTTTTTTTTTAGATTTTGAAAGAAGGGAAAGTTGGTCAATAAGATTTTAGTTTCCATTGAATTTCTGTTTTTTTTTTAATGCAATATTTTTATTTTTAATAAATTTCTCTGTTTTTTTTTCCAATATTCTAGTTTTTGTCTGAAACATATTTTGTGATTTTTTATCAATTCCTGTATTTTCTGCAATTGTTGCTTTTTTTTTGTCTGAAATATATTTTTTGGCTCAAACATACATCCTTTTTATTTCTATCAATTTCTGTACTCTTTGCAATTTCTGCTATTTTAGGTTGAAATATACATGTATTATTTTTTATTAATTTCTGTATCTTTCTGTAATTGTATACCAGGCTATAATCTTGGAATGAATGTCTTCTTGTTCCACTCCTTTTCACATAAACTTTTATTAATGAAAATGCTGCTGCTTATAAGGAAAATGTAAAAATATCATAAATCTCATCCTAGAAATTCAAAAAGAAAATCAATGTGTTGATTTTGTTACTGCTAAAAGTTTGAAGAAATTTCTATAGATGAAAACTGGGTGAATTAGAGTATTAGTTAGAAATTGTGTATTTTCTCTTGCCTGGAAAGCATCGAGGGATAGGCTTCTTATTTGGAAGTGAAAACAGTAAAAGCTCTAAACGAACCATGATTCATGTTCAGAGAGAATTGAGGGGGAAGCAGAGTTCTATACCACCTACAGTGTAAAGAACATGTTAGTTATTAAGTTTGAGATGGTTCTATTTAGGCAGGAACCTCAAATTTTTAAACGAGTTGAAGACAATTTTGGAGTTTGGCTTTTGAGATCTATTATGGGAGATAGGGAGGGATCCAATGGCTTCTTACCAGTTATCCTTTATTTTCCTGGTTGTCTGAATTACTTACAAGTTACGAATTATAATAGGGAGGTCACATTAATAACCCCATTACCCCACACACTACTATCTTATATGATATATGGTTCCAACACCAAACAACAGTACTGCTTATATGGGTGTTGGAGGGTAAAAAGTATTTCTTTATTTACTTTCTTTGTTTCAAGACTTTTGTTTGAAGGAGTTTGAAAATGTTCTTGACCGTCAAGTCAACAGCCTTGGTCTTACTTCTGAACAAGAAGTAGGGGAAGTAGTCTTTGAAGCTAGGGAGGCAATTGAGGATAACACCGGTCAGGTTCTTGGGGTAAAGGACACTTCAAAACCTTTTGAAGGCGTTAAAGAAAGGGATGATTTGGGTTCAGATTGTTTGCTTCTAGAGAGGGAGGTGAAAATTGACAAAACTTACATTGTTCAGAGAAGGGAAGACTTGGGATAGGTGGTGAATAAGGAGGTGGACCTAATTAAAATCTTGGGGTTATAAACATAACATGCATATTTATGAGGTTCTAGTACCTAGGGAGCCTTTTGAAATGGAATTTGTATGGCCCTGTAGGTACTGTTCTCTTCAATTTTGTTGCTAATCAAATTCCTTTTTCTTCTTATGGTGTGATCCTTACCAAAGTAGCAGAATTGATCATCAAACTTCTGTCTCCATTTTCAAGTCTTAATTTGTTATTTAGAGGGTGTTTGCCAATATAGGTGATTTTTTTTTTCAAAAAAAAAAAAAAGAATTGTTTGTATTGATGTGATAGTTTTTTTTTGTTTTGAAAATAGAATCATACATATTGGCAAACACGCCCTTAGACAATCAAAAGCTTTGCTGTGTCACCAAAACTCTAGATTCTACTCACACTTTTAGCAGAAGTTAGTTTAATCATAGCTTTCATGTACAGAACTTGAAAATGCCTGTTGTTTCAACTGGATTCTCTTGTGTCACCAGAACTCTAATGGTCTGTTGCACAATCCATTTTTTCAGTTCTGCTCAATTTTTTGCTACTTGCACTAGAAGAAGAGACTGGAAGRCCATTCTCAAAGGGAAGGGGTTGTTACTCATTATATGAATCCCCTTGGTTTTCAGATTGATCTTTAGGGTTCTCACCTTATTTTTATTGTTGAAAATATTGCAAGTCAAGCAGAATCATAGCCATTCTTTTAATTATATATGATGACTCATCTGCTCTTTTGTATATATGTTGAAACAACAATGACCTTTGGGCACTTGGATGCACCTTGTATCAGATGCTTTTGGGAATTTCTCCCTTCAAAGATGCAAGTGAATGGCTCATTTTTTCAAAGAATCATAGCCAGAGATATGAGATTTCCAAACTACTTTGCTGAAGCTAAAGACCTTATTCATAAGTTATTAGTAAGTTAAAAGCACTTGCAGGTTAGATTTAGTTTAGTTTGAGTTGTTAAGACACTTTTATGTTTGTCCTAAATACTACTTATCTTCTTTATCTTTTGTTCTTTTTGGATCTTAACAATGTCATTCATATTGAGCTTTGCTTTGCCCGCCCACTCTCTCTCACACAAACACACACACACGCACATAGCTCTAGATGCCATATTTGTTCAATCTATTGTTTGCAATTTAGACTTAAAGAGTAGTGGCAGAAGTTCCTTTCCATCTTTAGTTTTATTGCAATTCAGACTTGAAGGATGAGCAACATTGCTTGGAATTTGTTGTTTTCTTATTTATCAATTAGTGGTGGGCTCATATCCCTTTAGCCTCAATTTAAACCCATCCTTAGTTTTTGTCAGACCCAAGTTTTTACACTAGAGACTCAAAATCTAAGTGCATCTCTTGCAAAGCTTCTGGTAAGTTGGGTTGGGATCAAGGGGCTGTAAATGTGTTAGGTTCAGATTAGATCTTTGGGACAAAAAACTTTAAATTAATTTCTTTGGGACAAAAAAAACTTTAATTTACTTCTACCTATATAGAAATTTGTACAATTCAAGAGACATAGGAGTTTTTGTTTTCTTGAAGATGCATTTCCATTTTCCTTTTCAATGAAGAGATGCATTTCTGCATTAGATTTGTAGATTATCTCCATAATAGATAGATATTCACTGATTCATGTCCTGAATTGTGGGTTATATATCTGCCATTATTTGCAATAATGTCTCTGAGCTTTGAATCGCAAAGAGCTGGACAGACCAAGTATGTTCCAAATGCACGCTCACTTGATGTGAGCAATGGACCTACAGTCCCACCAACTGCTTCTGACTTTGTTGGAGCTGCATCCCAAGGATCAAACATGTCGAGCAGCATGCTTGCTGCTGCTACCCCCAGCACCAGAAACATATACTTGGTGAGTGCCTTTATCCCCTTGTCAAGAAACACAAGGTAAGATTAGGTGTATGAACATATTCTTGTTTATCATAAAATATATTGTATAGATTCAATAAAATCTATATATCTTCTGTTTGTAGCCTGATCTTGCTGCAAAAATAACTGGAATGCTTTTGGAGATGGATAACTCAGAACTGCTTCTTTTGCTGGAGTCACCCGAGTCATTGGCTGACAAGGTAGAAGAAGCAATGCAAGTGCTAAAACTCTCCAAGACCAGAGTTTCTAGACAGGATTCTATTCATCCAAATTATTTATCGGCTGAGATTGCAGTCAACTAAATATACCTTATCTGAGGTTGTGCTCCAAGAAGCAGTGCTAGGATCCACCCAACTGTTTTTGATCTGGAACATCAATTAATGTCTTGTTTTGTGAAGTGGTTTTTAACTTGTTATTAGTGGTATGATGTTTAACTTGCTATATCAGATTTCTTAATGATGTTTTTGAGTGATTCAAAGCGCCTTGTAGTGAGATCTGAACAAGTTATTCTGTGTTCTTGATCTTTCCTCCACAGGTTATTGAATGAGTTATTGTTTGGATAGGTTATTTTGAACTTGTTACTTGAACAGATTATAGTTGAACAGGTTATTCAACTTATTATTTGGACAGGTTATGTGTTAATGAGACAAAATGTCCAAAAAAACATGAATTTGGGCCAAAGGGTAAAATTGGAAAGAGATGAAAAAAATAACAATTTACCCAGGAAAGTGGGTGTTGCAAAAGAACATGGGAAAATAAGAACTTCATTTACCTGGATAAATCAAACAAAATAAGAACATGATAAATGCACTTACCCAGGTACCAGGTAAATGTGTTTCTCAAAAAAACATGGCCTAAGAGTAACGAGGTGTTTGGTTTTGAATAACCAAATTATATTAAACCGTATAAAAAAAAAAAGAGTTGTTTAAAGCTATCAAAGAAAACCCACTAACCCACCAATGACCTTGACCACTCGACCCCACCGAAAAAGGTAGAATAACAAATCTCCATTCAAATAAGTTTAAATTTGAAGCTCAACGATGTTCTTTAGGGAGTGTAGTATCGAATGGTGATATGCATAGACAGAAATTCCAAAGCCCTTTCAACACAAAGATTTTCCTTTGTTTTTGGTCCAAGTAGAAAAGCTTCCCCCTGGTCCCACTTTAATGGTGGGTCTCCTGAAAATTTCAGGGTGAAATGTGCTGTGTAGAGAGGTCAGAATGTGTTTTGTTACAAGATCGTCTGTATTTATCATGTACTTTGTATTCGATTTTTTATTTATTTATTTATTTTTGGTACTCATCTGTACTCTGTAGCAGGTGTTCCATTACACCTGTGAGACCATACATGTAAATGAGAGATGAGAGAGACACCTGTCGCTGACTGAATGGAGTCTTTTCGTTCATGGGACAACACAACGGCCCGGTGGCCCCTTGTGTCGGACCCACTTATATTATGAAATATGAATCATCTTCATCCTCCCGCACCTTTCTTTCACATACACACAGTTCAGTTCCATGATTAAACACATGTGAGTGAGGGCAAAAGAAGATTCACATGAAAAAGGAAGATCCGCATCATGTGGGAGATGTACCATATCGATCGTTTGGTTTCCTATTCTTTCCTCTCTAATACCCAACCGTAACCTGCTTCACATGGATATTGTCTCCATTGCCCGTTTTCAGGCATTTAGTTGTGTTCTTTGTATTTTAATGAAATTGTCTCAAATTATACAATACATAAGCTCAACTGAGAACGAAGTCTCACTTGCTATTTTCTCCGCCACATCACCTACATTTTTGTCTCTCTTCTCCTATTAATTTCTGACAAGATTCCTTTTGTTATTCTCTCATCAATTGAAGAAAAGTATGTAGTGTTTTCAAGGAATTCTCTGGTATTTTTTATTGAAATACATTAAAAAAAAAAAAAACCATTAGCCCTATTACCGAATGACCAATACTGGTCTTGGCTACCCAGGACTATTGGGGAGGGGTGGATATTGAATATATAGCAAAGTACCTAACCTTTGTCACTTTTTGGGATGCATTTTCTAAGGGATATAAATAAGAATATGCATGGGCGCCCCACAGGCCACAGTCCATCCCAGCCCGTGTATTGGGAATATCTGAGATGTGCATGTACGGCTCCAATCTGAACTCCATAAATAACCCCAACCGTATTTAATTTGCATTTATAAATGCTGCCTATAAAGATATACTTCAGTTTTCGGAGGTGTGAATTATTTTTCCTGTCCGTTTCTAATGAAGCACAATCTGGCCGGTCTTAGTTATCAATGATCTTGCCTCTGAACTGAGTAACAGGGACCTGAAACGGAAGGAGAAGAGAAGCTCCGGGGAGAATCCGGCGTAAGGGCTCCGAAGCTCAAGTTAGAATCCTTCAAAGGCAAGATAAACCAGATAGCGCGAAAGTTAGCATACCTCCTTCCT